CTTTGCTATGGTGTTAAGGTTGCACTGTTACTATTCCAATATGGAGTCGGGAGCATGTCCGTCCAGGAAAAAAGTACTCTATTTTCTGATGAAGGTGTTTCTACCTTTTCTTATAACTTTAATACTAATATAGACTATCTCTCTGCGTCCATCATTTTCAGTGAGTGTAGGGTTCCTTTGTGCCTTTCTTTTAACTGTGGATTTTTCTACTATCAAATAAACTGCAATGGCTCTGCACCTATGTACCTAAAAGCATTACACCTAACTTTTCCTTAAATTCCTCGGTCAGTTGGGTTAAGAATATTCTTCTTCCATAACAAAATAAATATACAAAATAATACAAAAGCTACCAGAGTCAGGTATAAACGTGACAAGAAAAAAAAAAAAAATTTTGCAAAACTGGCAACGATGGCTGATTTGGGATATTCATTTTAATGAAAAATTGACAACAGCTGAGCCTCAGCTGCTGTAACATATCAAAACTCGACATTCAAATCAACTAAATAAAGGCTTTGCAAACACAAAACTTTCCAGCGGCCCGTTAGAGTTTTGTGTATATCGGTCTTCTTTTGTGAAATGATCTGAGCTAAGTTACTCTAAAGAGAAATAATTACCCTTTATCATGCTGGCGTTTAATTAGATTACACGATCGATTTCTTTAGATTTCGGGCCGACTAATACACTATTTTGCTGATGCTAGCTCCAGCCCCTTGTGGGGGCAAAATTTGATATATTTAATGAATTCATGAGGCTATTTTTGGCCGAGTGATCACTTCTTGCCCCCACAAGGGAATGGAACTAGGAAATATTTGCATTAGCAAAATGGGCTATTACGAACACTGTCTACACCTGAGTGAGTGATACATTTGCCTATAGGAGTCCCCTTAACAAAAGAGTTTCTTCGCTTCGCGTTTCCACGAGTTTAGAAACCTACACTAGGTATTTCATGGTTTTAAGGTGCTAGTACAAATGTATTCCTGTTTCCAGATGTTACACTTTTTCATGATACCAGCATAGCCAACAGAAGAAGATAAAGCCAACCTCAGGCTTTTTATTCGGTAATACGCTTTTAGCTGTTGTTGGAAGTTGGAAACGGCCCTTTAAAGGACTGGTTAAGCTACGGCGGGTAAAATGACTGCAAACCCGTCGGCAAAAATAATATTCCTCCGCCCCCTTTTGGCCCACTGGTTTCTTTATTTAATTACCTATTGGAAAGCTTGTTCAAGTCGAGACTTGACATGAGACACCAAAGCCCTTTTCTAAAACTATGTGACAGGAACATTTCAAACCAGAATGCTACAGGCACGAATCATAATACGCTTCATTAGTGTGCGTCAAATTCAGCAAGCGATATCAGAAACGAAACAGGAACTTGCACTGCAGAGAATTATGGAGAAGTAAGCCTTGATGTGGTAGGCTACGCTAAAAAGGCATAGTTAAGAAAATAAAGCTAAGCTTGCTTTGAAAAGACTAAGGCCGGAATTGTTATCCGCTAGTAATTAAGGAAATACGTTGTCTTATTTCGGCTTCAGATTCATAATGTCACAACACTTTTCCTCAAATAAACTTTCTTTACTCTCCTCAATTTGAATACAGCAAGAGACAAAACAGTTCAGGTTGTAGCCACACCATTTACTGGATGGACTAACAGATTTATTATCTATTGTTAGACGAGTTGAGGAAAAAAAATCTTTGAAGTAGAATGGAAACTGCAAGATCCTTACCGGGAAAATTGATTTTCCTCTGAAATTTAAAATTAGTCACATAAACAGCACATAAATCATTGCTGCCTATGCCGTAGGCTATAATGGCTGCAAAACTATGTAAGAAAAAACTATGTAAGTACGTGTTCTACAAAACACTATCGGCTTTGGAGCTCGTGTTTGTTCCCTTTCACTTATAAGCAATTCAATAGGGGAAACAAAAAAACGTTACCCTTCAAGTTTTATAAACTGTCCATTACCTTTTTTATATCTGTTGCAGGATTTTTGTTGACTGCCTTCTCATGGCGTCATCATTTACCTCTTCTAAGGAGACAACTAATTACGCGCGGTTGTGTCGCTTATTGGTGGATGTTGGGACACAAGTATTAAGGGAAACATTTGAAAGAAAACGTCCGGCAGGAGACCTCCATACCGTTTTAACAACTCCTCCAGTACAAGGTACATTGGCATACTTGCAAAAGAAAAGAATCCTCAACCCGATGCAGTGGGGAAAACTCGTATCACCTACAGTGTCATCGAAGGACTTCGACATCACTCTCCTTGTAGTTCTTCTTAGAAACGTTTGTAGTCTATCTCCTCCAGCAACAAGTTGGAAAAGTCCTCCAAATCCGACAGACGTATCAGAAGCCGCTGATATCGTGCGTATCAGGATCCACAGGAACGAAGTGTACGCTCACACCAACGGAGCTTCTGTTGATGATGCGACATTCAATAACCAATGGGTAAGCATCAAAGACCCGTTGTTGAGACTTGGGGGACCAAGTTATCAGACAGTTATCGATAATCTAAGGACTGAATGCATGGACCCTGAGAAAGAGCAACACTATCAAGATCTTCTAAAAAAATGGAAGGAAAATGAAGAAAGTGTCATGGAAAAGCTTACAGAAATCGAGGAAAAGGTGGATGCAACCCAGAGCAAATTACAAAAGGTAGAAGAGAGTCTGGCTAATTTGGTGGAACCAGTGAGACACCCAGTCAAAGACGTAGCTGTTACAGGTTAGAATTGATAAAATGAGTAATGATGTGACATACTTTCAGCGGACTTACACTAAAAGCACTTACACTCACAAACGTACTTCTTTTCAAGTTTATAACATCTGATGAAATATTGACGTGATATGTAGAAATAACGTCATTTTCCCGAACACTCGCCATCTTCGATCCGCCTTCTTAGATTTAATGATGCTTATAGAACGTAAGAAAACCACCAAAAATGGTTCAAAAATAGTCAAAACCAATAAAGAAAGTCATAGTTAACTACCAAACAGAGGTGTGGCAGGTAGAAACTTGGAATTTATTTCCATTGAAAGCTCAAAAATTCATAATTTGAAAACATGCCTGTCACAATATGGTTGCCGTGGAAACGACCAATGGCATATTTAATTATTCACAGATAAATGTGTGGAAAATTCTCTAAATTTGGAGTTCTTTGTTCTAATCCTTTTAGTCCTTAAAGTTGGCCAGGACTTTTAAAGCCACCTCACCTATTCAGCATGATGAGCAAAAACCGGCATGCGTGACAGTTTGCGCTCTTAAATACGTTGTAATTTAATGATGATGACTTACCTACCTACCTACCCACCTACCTACCAGCAGCACCCCAACCCCTAACAGAAAAACTAAAGGAATGTTTATTGTTTTTCCTTTTATTATCCTTTGTAGATTTTTCAGGTCGTCTGTGTGCATTGTACAACAACTTGAGTCAGGTTAAAGTCACTCCGTGGGACCCTGACAACACCGTTCACATCGACGAAATTTACACTCAGTTATGCTGGTTTAGGGATGACAAGAGGCCTAGTGGAATAAAGCAAGACAAACTCGCAGACTATTGCGACATTTTCAAAGGGAAAACGAACAAGCCAAATCCAGACAGAATTCTCGTCTACGGTAGACCAGGAATTGGGAAGTCTACTTTTGCACAGAAGATTTCCATCGATTGGGCAAGAGGCAAAAAAGAAATTCTAAAGAAGTTTGACCTACTTCTTATGATTCCGTTGCGCACTGTCTGTGAAAGCGAAACGTTTCAAGATATTTTAAAAGCAGCCAAATTGTTTTCTGCTGAAGACCACAGGTTGACTGACAGTCTCCATAGCTACATTCTTCAGCACAAAGATAAAGTCTTGCTCGTTTTGGATGGCTTTGACGAGTACAGTGCAGCAACACCGTCACCAGTTCTTGACATCTGGAAGGGCGATGAGCTGAGAGAGTGCATTGTTGTCTTGACAACGCGACCAATAAGAGGAGATGAAGTAAAACGCTTCAGCGACGTTCAGTTTCAAATCAAAGGATTTGCCACAGCCCAGATCAAAGAGTTTTCAATGAAGTTTCTGGACAATCAGCAAGAGGTTGAAGTGTTTCTTAGCTACATTAAGAAGCATAAACTGGAGGAAATTGCTGCGATACCCCTTCTTCTACTAATGCTTTGTTTAGTCTGGAAGGAGAGGGATCAGGAAGGACTACCAGAATCGAGAGTTTACCTTTATCGCGACTTCATTCAAGCACTATGTAATCACATGGCGACAAAAGACGGTGGTGGAACAGTGAGTAGTATCGAAGACTACAGCGCTGAACTTATTCAAGTCGGAGAACTGGCTTTCAATGCTCTATTGGCAAACTCGCTAGAGTTTGGCTTTGAACATCTTCCCAATAAATTTTTGAGTAGCAGATTGATCCGTGTTGGGGTAATTCAGGTCGTAAAGCTCTTCAGTGCAAAGCCAAAGAAGGTTGTTGCATTCCTTCACAAATCCATTCAAGAGTTCCTGGCAGCTTGGTTTATAATTCACAAGCTAATTCCCTCCGCCAAGGACAGCCTATCATGCATGCCTGCTATTGATTCCACTGACAAAGCTGTAGCGATGGTTGAGGTCCTAAAATTCGTCTCTCAGTGGTCGCTTGAAGGATCGAGTGCAGTCTTACTACATCTTGAATCATTGAAGGAGAAACAGAGTTCCGAACACACCAGAAGTGAAACCCTGTTTTTAGACGATTTGTCGGACGATGACAAGAAACTGCTCGAGTTGAATTTGCAGTGCTTTATTGAAACACCAGTCTTGGCAAAGGCAGAGGCCTACCCATTGCTGTTGAAGTCGACATGTGGAGTCCTAGTAATACCAGACACGGTGCTACATCTTCTAACTGAAGACCACGTGGTCAAATCCAAAGTACTTCCAAACCACGTACTGTTCAATTTTCGACAACGGCCGTCGCAAAAACAACGCGATTACATGGCCTCGATGATGGACGACCTTGATGCGTTAGTCGTAACTGCGTCGGGTGAAAGAAAGGCTTCGGACTTCGTAAGAAAGCTGTCGAAGTTTGAAATATTGACCTCCTTGTTTCTGCAAAGAAGGGAAGGCAAAATGTTCCTTCACTGCACTCAGGTTGCCGGTATTGATGTCGGCACACTGAATGAGCTCACATTACCAACGCCAAGCCTTCCTCCTCAGACCTCTCATGATCAGCAACATGGCGAAGAAAGCATCTCGAAGATGATTTGCCAAAGACGTCAACATTGCTTTTCGCTGGCAAAGAAGATCGAAATTGACGAAATAGAAGATGAAGAATCCATTGGTGTTATTTCCAATGTAGTGCCTCTGGTTGATCGTCCACAAGAGATAACTTTCTGCAGTTCACAGGTATCTTTTCAACCTGATAAGATAGAGCGTTTGACGAGAGGACTGAACATCACCGGATGTCTTCAACGCTTGAGACTGCACAGAATGAGCTTGAACGATCAGTCATTAACTGTTGTAACAAGTGCCATTCATCAAGCTAGCAACTTGCAAGAACTATTCTTATCGGAGAACCCGCTGGGTAGTAGCGTTAGCTGTTTAGCAGAGAATCTTCAACATGTGCCGCAGCTGGAAACGCTGGAGTTGAACGATGTTCTTATGGAAGAGGAAGCGTTTTCTGATCTTGCTAATTCTTTATGTGATGTTCCTGAGTTGAAAGTACTTTGTGTCTCTCGGAACAAGTTAGGCTCGTCTATCACTGTTTTGGCTAATACCTTAAATAGCATTCGTGGTCTCACCCATTTGGAACTGAGTCAGACACAAATGGACGAAGAGGGAGCAATGGCGCTTTCTAACGGCCTAAGAAGTCTCACCAAATTAGAAGTGCTCGATATATCACACAACCCGCTAGGAAGGGCAGTCACTGAGATTGCACATCATCTGCAGAATACACCTTGCCTGACCGAGCTTCATATGACTAACACCGAGATGGGTTGTGACGAAGCCACAGCCGTTGCAGCCTCATTTAAATACCTTCAAAATCTTAGGATGCTTTCTGTTGGGTCCAATCCACTTGGTGGAGGAGTGCATTCTCTTGTCCAGCATCTCTCTAAGATCCCAAAGCTAAAACATCTTAACCTTACAAGCGTACTGATGAGAGACGAGGAAGTAAACTTGGTATCAAAAGCTTGCAAAAGAGCTCGAAGTGTGACCATTACCACAGATTATCTGGTGAGTACGAGCGCATTTTCTTTCTTTCTCTCGCTCTTTCTTNCGATTACAACGATGACAACGACAGAGAGGAGGATGATATCGTCTCTGATCGAGAAGATGATTATGATCAAGATTGGGATGTTAATCCGTTCCCTGACGATTACAACGATGACAACGACAGAGAGGAGGATGATATCGTCTCTGATCGAGAAGGTGATTATGATGAAGATCGGGATGATTATCCGTTCCCTGACGATTACAACGATTACAACGATGACAACGACAGAGAGGAGGATGATATCGCCTCTGACCGAGAAGATAACTATGACGAAGATCGGGATAGTTCTCCGTCCCCTGGTGACTTTGATTACGACTACTAAGATTACCATGATGGAAATGACGCAGAGAACGAAAACCAGGTATGTACAGGCATATATAGAGACTGGCATAAAGAAGGCTGGAAAGATCCTCCGCTATTTTTCCACTGCGGATTTCATCCAGTTCAACTTTGCAAGTGTTTCCCTTTTAGGTTATGGTGTATATAGTGTTATATATCTGACTGATTTTCCACAAACATGCCCGTAGATTTGAACCCCCTCATTCATGTAGCTGCCATATTATTGTTGTTGTTGTTGTTGTTGTTGTTGTTGTTTTTGGCTACCTAACGGTAGCAGCTTATTAAGCTCACCTAGCACGAAATGTCGAGAATTTCTTGCTGCATGTTTCATTTATTTATCTATATATATATATTTTTTATTTATCGCTACCCTCCCACTACCGTCCCTTTTCAATTGGTTTTAACTTTAGCCCAGGCTACGCTCGTCTGAGTTTTAGCTCGGATGGTTACTTGGAGAAGGAGCTGATAGATGAGCTTTCTAAAGCTGCTGTCTAAAGGAAATCTACCCGAGAACATCATTAAGTCCAATGAAGGTGCATGTCTAACGATTTGCAAGTAAGCTTCGTCCATTATCGTACTTGGAACGACCCTGAGACGGTAACGGGTTGCCATTTAGCCCCCTAATTAGGCCGTTTGCATTGTGGCGATAATGTTGCACTTGCTTTAGACAGCAAAGAGCTTTAGCCACATCAATTAGGGCTTAGAAGTGCAATGGAATAGACATTTCTAGCTGATGTTAGCGTTATTTGGCCTGAACTTTGATGTGGCTAAACTGTCGTAGTGTTGGAAAGGCTACTTTCCCGTTCGATGAAATTCAAGTACATCCGGGACATTGTTATTTGCGAACATGGCCACGAACAGAGTCGAGAAAATTACTTCAAGGGCTGATGTGAGTAGTATTTCCTTGTTTTATCAAGTTTAGAGGCTCTCGCCTTAGCTCAAGTTCAGAGCTCTTTGTGATTCGCTAGCGCGGAAGGAATTCTATGCACGGTTTTTCGGTTGATAATTGACGTAAACAACATGCGTAGTTTTCTCTTACTCAGATTCATGGGCTAGTTTACTTGAAGTTTATTCGATTTTCGATGTAAGAAGCTCTTGTTCAGTCTTTCTAGAACGATGCAGACCTTTAAAAAGCTATAGATCAGCTCTCTGCCGGGGTTTTGATATGTGTACGTTTGTGTTGATTTAGACTCGCATTTCATGTTCAATGCTCTCTTAATTAAATTGCACAATTCATAATTTAATGTAAAGACCGTGAATTTAGTCTTTTTGGCCTCAAAAGGCATACAGGAGATTTATTTCCCCTTATTTGAGCTATGTAAAGCGTTGTCGAAAGCTAGCTCTAGGACAGAATTGTATCAAGATTTTCAGTAACAAGTCAAATTCTGTGGCTACGTTTTTGCGAGTACAGACAGATACCAATTGCTGGTTTAATGAGCACGAGCTAGCCTGCAGAACAGGCGGATTAGTGGGGCAGAGAGCGAAACGCGATACACGAGCGCGGAGCGCGAGTCGAAAAAAATTCGGATTTTCTTTCGACTCCCGCTTCGCGCTCGTGTGTCACGTTTCGCGGTCTGCTCCGCTAATCCGCCTGATCTACAGGCTAAGCATGAGCACGAACAAGAGCACTAACGAACAGTACATACTCGTGTGTATACCAGGAAATACAAGTGCACTTGGGATGTTCCATGGTATACCACTCGAAAGTGTCGCATAACTAGTATCTATTTTTCTCTAAGGTGAAAGGTTTTAGATAAGATAAGGCCTTCATCGGAACAAAGCATATTATTCCACCAGAGCTTGACCACAAGGTTACCCTCGAGCATTAAATTTGCGGAAACAAGAAGTATATAATTCTATGATCATAAAATTTTGCCGGTACCCATTTATACACCGCCGACATCCATTTACACCTGGCTATTGAGAGGCACTATGAAATGCTATTGTTGTCCAAAAACACAACCAAATGACTCCGGTCTGGGATCCAACCCCGAATCACAAGATTCCGAGTCCAACCCACTAATCCCCCCTCTCCCGCCCCCTCCCTACAAGAACGTCCTTTCAAATTCCTCCTAACGTTTTTCCTTCGCTTACATTTTAGTGACCAGCCATTTTGGTGAGAGCTCATGAGACCTGGAACTTATTGAGTCATCATGTAAGAAGAAGGAACTAAAGGTCGTAGCCTGACTACGCGTTGCCAAGCGACCCACACAACTTGGTAACGTTAGTTTGTTCGGAGAACAATACAGAGCCACCGAGTTCAGTGCCTCAAAAAGTAGTTAAACAAGTTTTATCTTGTTTTTATTGATCTTTTTTAAATATGGATACTTTTTTGATCTTCAGGGAATTTAAGCAGAACAATTTGCAGGAACAGATGGTGTGACCAAGAAATGCCCGGCTGTAACTCAGGCCAACTCAGGTTCACTTATCCTATGGGTAAAACAAAAAAACACCGTCTGTTGCCTCCGAAATATTGATCATGAAAAGTTGGTACAGTGGTACTATACTACAGTTTTGCCGGTGATTTTAGTTGAAAGTTAGGGTGAGCCCATAATAAGAAATATTCCATGGAGTATTGAGTCTACAATTCTCACTGTAATACGTACCATTATGTATTCAGTTACCATAGGAATGATGCTTTTCTTTTCCTTTGCTAAAACACGAGTCTAATTAAAGTACTCTCTAGATCATTTTTTCTTTTATTACTATTCACCGCACGAATAGTTGTTTACTACTTTTGAATGATTTGTGTTAGAAACCGAGCGACATAACTTAAGGTTAGGGTTACGATGTTTCGAGACGTGATGAGATGACTTGATGATGAGAGACGTGAACGACAATCATCAGTAAAACTTCAATCTGTGAAAAAACAGACTACATTCTGTGTATTAGTTGCCGCCAAACGTGTTTATATTTAAATAAAATTACGTTTCAGCCGCGCCTTACGTCGCTCCGTCATGTCCTATTGAGCAGAGAACACCTATCAAGCGGCCACTGGCAATTTTCTCAAAGGTGACCGCCTTAGAAAAAAGTTTAACTTTAAAATCGGCCCTCCAAAAAATAAAGTTGAAAGCATTTTGTTCTTGTCCCTTCGGTTCCAAAGGGTGGGAGTCGACGGAGCTCCGAAATTTGAGATATTGATATTAGCTTTTTTAAATCTATATTTATAATATAGATAGGACCCTGCGCGCTCTCTGATTGGTCAAAAACCTATGTTTTATCAGAGTACAAAACATAGAAAAAGCGTGCGTGTGTTATTGTTTTTCGATCTGTATGCTTTTTTGTTTCTACTCGCGGCGTGTAAAATTATATCATAAAGCATACGAAGAAGCCTAAACCGTGTATTACACTGTGATAAAACACTCCGGACATTTGAGAAACTTCAATCTATTTCTAATTTTCAAATCGATTTGATTACGGAAAGACTGAAAAACAGCTGATTGAAAATGCCTTGCATGTTCCAGGGAAACAAGGGATCAAGACACCTTAAAACCACTTATATTTCTCCAAAACAGAATACATGGTCGATGATTCTTAACGAAGGTTAAAAGTGGCACAAATGTAATCAGATCCACATGTATAATGTAGGCCACATTCGTCGCGCATTTGCGGCAAAAAAAAATATCACACCATATCAGCAAAATACGTTTATTTGTTTTGACTTCATAAAAAAGTAAATCGAGATACACATAGCATTTATTTATACCTAGTCTAAAACGAACCAAATCAATTTCGGTTATCGTAATACTAATCAGTTCTAAGCAATAAAAAGCCTCTCTTTACTTATTTTACGCTTTGAACTAGCACAAGTTTTGTTTTATGGCGGGTAAATACGATCATTTTATTTTATTTTCAATTATTTTATTTTACGCCGAATGCATCAAAAAGCCTAAGAAACAATTTGCGCGATAACGCATCTATCATGACACTTTCTCTTTTTCCAGATTTCTACTTAACAACACAGAAAACCTTTAAACGGTTATATAAAGCTGTTAAACACATTCGTTAAAAGCTGTTGAATAACTCTCATATTTTAAGTTGCGCATATGTAGTCGCAACAAGTAGGAATTTTATAACTTTTACGGATAGATCTGCAATTATCTTGCAGTCTTCCGGAGGCCAACTGATTATGGCATGTAACATAATAATAAATGAAAGTTAAAAAGGATCTTTGTTCAAACTTGCACCGCAAATCCCAGTACTCGTCAGGTCGAATACAACCTCCTTTAATTACATTTTCAAAAGGATCTCTTCCAAGTGCTTGTAGGCATAATTGAAAGTTTGATTCAACATTCTGACGATTGTTTCGGAAGACTGAAAAGTAAACGACAAACATGATGGTTATCATTATGCATCAATTCAAGATCGCAGACGGGTGAGCTTGGGGAGAAGGGGTTGTGGGGTCAGGGAGGAGAGGGGGGATCGAAGAAAGGGGTGTTTCTATATGTGTACTAGAGACCAAAAGGTAAACCTTACATAATTGCTATGTTTTCTTTATTTAGAGACTGTAGATCGAGGAATATGTCTTCCTTAGTCGTCTTGACTTGAGTGAAATTTGTTTCCTCTGGTTAATTCATTTGTTATCAGGGTTAAAGAAAACAGGTCCTTTAGCAAGCCTTTATAAGTGCACTTTTAGAGAAAATAACGCTATCTGACCGAGACCTGGCCGGGGGTGGTGGGGAAGGTTGAGGGTGAAAGCGTAAAATGACAGCACTCCCCACAATATTTGAGTATTCCAAAAGTTCCTAAACATTCGTATAAACTATTTTTATATTGGCCGTTTTCACACTAGAGACGGATAATCCGTCTACGACGGGTTATCCGTCCATCACGGATAATTCGTCTTAGTGTGAATACGGAACGGTGCTCATTTTAGACGGATAATCCGTCTATTTTTATCTGTCCGATTAATCGGACGGATATAAATAGACGGATAATCCGTCTAGACGGATTATCCGTCTCTAGTGTGAAAATGGCCATTGGTAGGAAATTTTAGCATTTCGCTATTGATAACTTTTGCAACATTTCTGCTCATTTTCTTAATGAAACAGTCAGGGAATCGACCTCAAGGCGAATCCAAGATTGGGGTTAATTTGATAGTATTGCCTAACTACCACTTCGCTGGGAGTTTCATAAACATCACCAAATATCCTTAGAGTTACGAAGGTAATACGGGGGTGGCAATGTAATCAAACCCCCGGGTTGAATACAGTTAAAAGCAGGAAGTGTTGAAAGTTGTCTAACTTTCGACAAGACACTATCAGGTAACTATTTTTTTTTTTATTTACCTAGCTTAACGTCGAGAGCTGTTGTATACTCGTAAGTGAGGAAAATTTCTCGCAAGTAAACTGTGATTAAAAAAATGTTCTGCCAATAAATTTGCCTTGTAGACTTTTCACAGTCCCTTATTTTTCCGTGAGATCGTAGATGTCGATCGTTGAGTTCGATGGGCCGCCATCTTGGTTTCTTGATGCGATCGAAACTGGGGAGAGTACAAAATGTCCGTGGGTAGTGGCGGTTGGGCTTAATAGCGTGGGGGGGACGGGGCGGAAAAAATAGGGAGACTGTAACAGCTTCACTCTGTCTGGTGTTCGCTGCGTTAGTTGCTCCAGCAACGGCAACACCTGATTGGTCGAAGGGACAATAGAGTTCATCAGAGCGTAGCAGAGCGTTGACAACTTGAGTGACTTCGTGGCTCAGGGCAAAATGGCATCGATTTCAAGATAATTTTGTGGAGAATGTTTTGATTTCGATCGTCTGTCTGCCTCTTGTCTTGGAGGATTAGTATTAAAGCGCGAGCAAAAGGAGGCCGTTTCTCGTTTACTCGAAGGAAAGGATGTTTTGGCGGTTCTTCCAACTGGTTTTGGCAAGAGTTTAATATATCAAAGTTTCGTTTTGGCGAAGGAAATGGCTGAAAGCTCTGTTGGTTGTTCT